TAGTAATGTTACGAATTCTAACCATTGGCCGCGGCGATGATAATGACATAGTTGCGCATGATGGCTCTTTAGCCATCATATACTGCTGCTCGAATCTGTCAGCCATATCGCGTAATTGTTGGGCTATCGCAAGTGTTCTCAAACACATATCTGAAATTATGGTTGGCTAACTCTCGCCGTCTTCAGTTTCAAAGTCGTCCAAGAGTATCGTGTAATAAGACTGAATTTTGGTAAAATAAAGTGAAAACAGACTTTGCTAAACTTTGCTTGGCTTCTTGTGGCTCGAGCAAGAGAGGATCGCAAATGCAAGGCTTGTACTATCCTATTTTTTTGGAGCGAATACTTTAGATTTGATATTTTCTCAAACACTAATCTCAGAATCCAAGAAGCTCACAGAAATCTGCAAACCTTGCGACAGCTGTACATTTTCGTTCACCACTTTTACAACGTTATCCATTAATAAAGCCGGAATAAATACAGGAATGTGGTTACTAGTGGAGACAGTTCGGGCTATACTTTCCGTCGGTAATCCGTTCATTGTTTCCATGAAACTTGATAAGATTGTTGTGCAACATGGAATCTGCGGCGCGACTGAATGAGGACTGTGGCCACGGTTTGAAGCACGGGACATCTGAATTTTGTTTGCATTTTCGATGCTAAGAAAAGACAGGTAGAAGGATAGGATTAAGGTTTAGTAAAATATCATGTTGTACCAACTTTAGCGCTTGATTTTCTGTATGTATTATAACCATTATTATAGACGTGATGCATTTTCAATGTACTGTAAATGCTAACTAAAAAACAATGATACAAATATTAGCCGAGGAAAAGCGCGGCTGAAAAAGCAGAAGAACGCTATCACGAAAATACTTCTCGAGCCCCTTTGGAAAAAAGCTTGCTAAGAAATTTTGAATGATAACAGGATTAATGTAATGCGTTAAGTGATCATCAACGAGATGCTTTAATCAAGTAATATAGACAGGGAGTACAGCACCGAGGATTTTTTTATGCAACTGTTGTTAGAATGATTCATGTAGCCAAAAATGTTAATGATCCATTTTTACAGTAATATTTTTCATAGTTATTCACAAAAAACGTAGTCTGTCCGAACGG